CAAAACAAAAGACAAAAGAGAAAGTGGAGATATAAACTTTGAAGGTAATATCTAAAGACACACGAGAGCTTCTTTAAGTGAAGCCAAAGTGAACATAAGGCTCTGTCCAACAGGTACGAGGTACTTGATTCCTGTGTGGATGACGAAAAGGACTGCAGGGAGGATGAGCCAACTGACCACTGCACCGTGGTACGGGTGGCCATTTAAGAGGGGGGAGTAAAAAGACAGGTGGTAGTTGTAGGTGATTCTATAATTAGGGGGATAGATAGTATCCTTCGTAAGCAGGATTGAGAGTCTCGCATGGTGTGTTGCCTGCCCGGTGCCAGGGTAAGGGATATCTTTGACCGGCTTGAAAGGATATTGGAGCGGGAGGGGGAGGATCCAATAGTTTTGGTCCACGCCGGAACAAACAACATAGGCAAGATTAGGAAAGAGGACCTATTCAGAGATTATCAGGAGCTAGGAACCAAATTAAAGATCAGGTCCTCAACGGTTATAATCTCCGGATTAATGCCTGAGCCACGTGCTAATTGGCAGAGGGAAATGATAATAAGAGAAGTAAACACGTGGCTAAAAGAGTGGTGCAGGAAAGAGGGGTTCCTTTTCATGAGGCACTGGCATCAGTATTGGAGCAGGAGGGATCTGTACTGTTGGGATGGTCTCCACCTGAATCGAGCTGGGACCAATGTTCTAGCGAAAAGGGTAAATGGGCTGGTCAACAGGACTTTAAACTAGAAAGTGGGGGGGAAGGGAATGGTGAAACTTGCCCCAGTGGGAAACAAAGCAGCAGGTTAACATCTGTAGTGGTGGATTCAACTACGTTGAAAAATATGAAAGAAATGACAGGAAAGGAGAACTCAGAAGAGGTTATTAAAGTCTCCAGCACAGACACAAATAGGACAGAGTGTTTGGAAAGGGCTAGCAATCAAACTTCAAGCACACTGGATAAACAAATGACAATGAGAAGAGGGAAGGTTAATACAGGACTGAAGGTGTTATATCTGAATGCACGCAGTATAAGGAATAAGGTAAATGAGCTTGTGGCGCAGATCGAAACTGGCAGGTATGACGTGATAAGCATCACGGAGATGTGGCTGCAAGGGGATCAGGATTGGGAACTGAATATCTAAGGATATACATCGTATCGAAAAGGTAGGAAGGTGGGCCATGGAGGGAGGGTTGCCCTATTAGTAAGAAATGAAGTTAAATCAAACGGAAGAAATGAAGTAGGATCAGATGGTGTAGAATCTGTGTGGGTAGAATTGAGGAACCGCAAAGGTAAAAAAACCATAGTTGGAGTTGTGTACAGGCCTCTAAACAGTAGTCAGGAGCTGGGGCGCACGATATACCAGGAAATAGAAAAGGCGTGTAAGAAAGGCAAAGTCACAGTGATCATGTGGGATTTCAATATGCATGTGGACTGGGAAAATCATGTTGGTAGTGGATTGCAAGAAAAGGAATTTGTGGAATGTCTATGAGATGGCTTTTTGGAGTAGCCCGTAGTGGAGCCCACAAGGGAACAGGCAATACTGGAGTTAGTGTTGGACAATGAGGCAGTCTTGATAAGGGGCTTAAGGTGAAGGAACCCTTAGGAGGCAGTGATCATAAGATAATAGAATTCACTCTGCAATTTGAGAGGGAGAAGATAGAATCAGAGGTAACGGTATTACAGATGAATAAAGGTGACTACAAAGGTATGAAGGAGGAGCTGGGCAGAATTGACTAGAAGAGGAGCCTAGCAGGAAAGACAGTGGAACAGCAATGGCAGGAGTTTCTGGGAGTAATTCAGGAGACACAGCAAAACTTCATCCCTAGGAAAAAGAAGCATGGTATAGGGAGGATGAGGCAACCATGGCTGACTAGGGAAGTCAGGGATAGCATAAAAACAAAAGAGAAAGCATATAATGTGGCGAAGGGCAGTGGGAAACCAGAGGATTGGGAAGCTTACAAAGACCAACAGAGGGCAACAAAAAAGAAATAAGGAGGGAGAAGATTAAATATGAGGGTAAGCTAACCAGCAATATAGGTGAAGACTGTAACAGTTTCTTTAGATATATAAAGGGCAAAAGAGAGGCAAAAGTGGACATTGGACCACTGGAAAATGACGCTGGAGAGATAGTAGTGGGGAACAAGGAAATGGCTGAGAAACTGAATAATTACTTTGCGTCAGTCTTCACAGTGAAAACACAAGTAATTGACCAAAAATTCAAGAGAGTCGGGGGCAGAGCTGAGTATGGTGGTCATCACCAAGTAAAAGGTGCTAGTAAAACTGATTGGCCTGAAAGTGGATAAATCACCTGAACCAGATGGACTATACCCCAGAGTTCTAAAGGAGGTAGCTGAAGAGATAGTGGAAGCATTAGTGGTGATCTTTCAGGAATCGCCAGAGTCAGGGAGGGTCCCAGAGGACTGGAAAATTGCTAATGTGACACCCCTGTTTAAAAAGGGAGTGAGACAAAAGTCAGAAAATTACGGGCCGATTAGCCTAACCTCGATTGTGAGTAAGATTTTGGAGTCCATTGTAAAGGACGAGATTTCTGAATATGTGGAAGTGTATAATAAAATAGGGCAAAGTCAGCATGGCTTCATCAAGGGGAGGTCATGTCTGACAAATCTGCTAGAATTCTTTGAGGAAGAAACGAGCAGGATAGACCAAGGGGACCCAATGGATGTTATCTGCCTGGACTTCAAGAAGGCTTTTGACAAGGTGCCACACAGGAGGCTGCTGAGTAAGATAAGGCCCCATGGTGTTAGAGGCAAGGTGCTAGCATGGATAGAAGATTGGCTGTCTGGCAGAAAGCAGAGAGTGGGGATAAAAGGGTCTTTCTCAGGATGGCAGCCGGTGACAAGTCGTATTCCACAAGGGTCAGTGTTAGGGCCACAACTTTTCACTTTGTACATTAATGATCTAGATGAAGGAACTGTGGGCATTCTGGTTAAGTTTGCAAACGATACAAAGATAGATGGAGGGACAGGTAGTATGGAGGAGGTGGGGAGGCTGCAGAAGGATTTGGACAGGTTAGGAGAGTGGGCAAAGAAGTGGCAGATGGAGTACAACGAGGGAAAGTGTGAGGTCATGCACTTTGGTAAGAAGAATAAAAGCATGGACTATTTTCTAAATGGGGAGAAAATTCAGGAGTCTGAAGTGCAAAGAGACTTGGGAGTTCTAGTCCAGGATTCTCTCAAGGTAAACTTGCAGGTTGAGTCAGTAGTCAGGAAGGCAAATGCAATGTTGGCATTTATTTTGAGAGGACTTGAATATAAAAGCAGGGATGTACTACTGAGGCTTTATAAGGCTCTGGTCAGGCCATGTTTGGAGTATTGTGTGCAGTTTTGGGCCCCATATCTCAGGAAGGATGTACTGGCCCTGGACCGGGTTCAGAAGAGGTTCACGAGAATGGTCCCAGGAATGAGAAGCTTAACATATGAGGAACATTTGAGGACTCTGGGACTATACTCATTGGAGTTTAGAAGGATGGGGGGGGGATCTAATTGAAACTTACAGAATACTGAATGGCCTGGACACAGTGGATATTGGGAAGATGTTTTCATTTGTAGGAAAGTCTAGGACCCGAGGGCATAGCCTTAGAGTAAAGGGAAGACCTAGTAGAATGGAGATAAGGAGAAACTTCTTCAGCCAGAGAGTGGTGAATCTATGGAGTTCACTGCCACAGAAGGTTGTGAAGGCCAGGTCATTGTGTACATTTAAGACTGAGATAGATAGGTTCTTGATTATCAAGGGGATCAAGGGTTACGGGGAGAAAGCAGAAGAATGGGGTTGAGGAACTTTTCAGCCATGATTGAATGGTGGAGCAAACTCGATGGTCCAAATGGCCTAATTTCTGCTCCTATGTCTTATGGCCTTATAGATTATGAGGCAGGCAAATAATAGAGAAGTAGGAAATGGCAGAGTAGAATAAATACTTTGCACGAGGCTTCTTGGTAGAACACACTAATAGCATTCCAAAAATACTAAATAATCAAGAGACAAAAGAGAGGAGAAGATAAACAATAACTTCCCCAAGAGAAAAACTACTCGGGAAACTAATGGGGCTAAAGGCCACTAGGTCCTCTGGACATGATGGGCTGCATCCTAGGATAGTTAAGGAAGTAGGTACAGAGATTGTGGGTGCAATGTTAGTAACATAACAAGAATCGTTAGATTCTAGAAAAGTCCCAGAGGGCTCGAGAACTGCAAATTAAACACTCTTCAGAAAAGGAGGGAGACAAAAATACAAGTAATTATAGAATTCTTTGCCACAGATGGTTGTAGAGACTGCGTTGTTAAGTGTATTGAGGATCATAAAATCCCTACAGTGCAGAAACAGGCCATTCAGCCCAACAAGTCCACACCAACTCTCCAAAGAGCATCCTGCCCAGACTTGCCTCCTATCCTAGCTCTGTAATCCTGCAATTCCCATGGCTCCCTGCTTTCCCACAGCTAATCCACCTCACCTATACATTTCTGGACACTAGGCAATTTAGCTTGGCCAATCCATCTGACCTGCATATCTTTGGACTGTGGATCAAAACCTGACCACCCAGAGGAAACCCACACTGACAGGGGGAGAATGTGCAAACTCCACACAGACAGTTGCCTGAGGCTGAAATTGAACCCAGGTCACTGACACCATGCAGCAGTAGTGCTAACCTCTCAGTCACCATGCCATTGTCTGAGCTAAATAGATTTTTAATCAGTAAGGGAACCAAAGGTTATTGGAAAAGGGCACTGAAGTGGAAATGAGGATTATCAGATCAGCCGTGATCTCACTGAATGACAGAGCAGACTTGATCAGCTCAAGTACCTGCTTCGGCTCCAATGTCTTATGATCTCATTTAAAGATCCTGCACAGGCATTTTCCACCTCCTAAGGTGATATTAGATTACTGTATCCCTACATTCCAGTGTGGTACAGCATCATTGATACTTTACACAGACATGTTTATTTTATTCCTATATACCCACAGGCGTTTTGTTAAATGAATATATTGTGATTTTAGGGCATTCTTATTAGCTGGACCAAAGGCTTCAGTGCCACTGGTGTGGAAGGACAGGATGTTGTTTCTCTATTGAAGGAAGCTATCAGTCAGATCAGGGAAGGTGGTAAAAGAGGGGGAGGTATGGCATTGTTAGTCAAGGACAGTATTACGGTGGCAGAAAGGATATTTGATGACAACTCGTCCACTGAGGTAGTATGGGCTGAGGTTAGAACCAGGAAAGGAGAGGTCAC